AATCATTTTCAAGTTTGTAAAATGGCCGCTAGAGGGCGCAACCGCTATGGAAAATATGAAAATAGAATTTTTACAGAATTTTGCCTAGATAATGGGTACTATAAATAATAGCTTCATAATCTTCAGTAAATTTTGGATTTTTTTTGTTAGAACCATTTTCCCCTATCTGGTAAAATAAAGTGGTGGGGGAAGGTTAGATCTATCTTTGTTTAAATGTTAATAACTCCGGACTGGATGATGAGAATCCAACCAATGATGGCTCGTTTAAAAGAACGTTTCTTACTCTATAATCTTTTATCTTTTGATTGTTTTTTCAAAATGTCAACACAACTTCAACTACTTCAAATAATAAAGACATTTTGAAAAAGCAATTAAAAGATAAAACACGCTGAGACTATCAAAATGTTGATCTAATAACAATTTTACGTTTATACTATTACGCCAAAAGCAACTTTTTTCCAAAGCCTACCATGACTTCACTGAATCATCGTTTCTTGTTCACTGTTATTAATATCTTAATTATTAGATATTAATAGGTACATCTGGTATTATGGTGTTCTGGTATTTCGTCGATTTTAAAATAAACTAACTGTTTCTATCTTATTTTTTTGTTATAATGGGCATAATCAAGAAGGCTACTGATAATTAAGGGCTTATATTTTGGTATTTATTAAAATTTTCCTAATATCTTCGGATTGAAAGAAGATATCAAGGTGCGGTTTTCGCTGACTTTTTAAGCTTTTACTACTCTTTATTATCAGCTAAAATTACATCTATCGTATTTAATTTTTTTGAAAAAACGCACTATGTTTGTTAAATTGTATGAAAGCGCCCCCTAGCGTCTACGTTCAAAACCTTATTATTATTATTTTTATGGTATACTATAGAGTAAGAAACGCTCTTTTAAACGAGCCCTCGTTTATTGGATTCTGATCATCCAGTCCGGAGTTATTAACATTTAAATAAAGATATATCTAACCTTCCCCCACCACTTTATTTTAGCAAATAGGGGAAAATGGTTCTAACAAAAAAAAATCCAAAATTTACTGAAGATTATGAAGCTATTATTTATAGTACCCATTTTCTAGGCAAAATTCTGTAAAAATAATATTTTTTATTTTCCATAGCGGTTGCGCCCTCTAGCGGCCGTTTTGCAAATTTGAAAATAATTTCCAGCAATTTCTCATAGCACCTTTAGTTATAAATATTTCTTTTTAAGTCCTACGGCTAATACTTTCCGAGATACAGCCGAGAGCTATTCTTAGTGGGACACCCTGTACATTGTCGATTTCATCATCTAGTAAGTACTTGCAAAACAAATACGCAATAATTAAGACGCGTGACCCCTTACCTCCCGCATCACGGTACGATATCTTTCACGTGCTAATAGTACTACTAGCGTACTACAATATTCATTGGTACTACCTATGGATATGTTTTTATCGAAGACCGGCCTTTGTCTGGTCACAAAGAGATATATTTGGCAAATGTAGGTACTATTACACTATATCAAAAATAGAAAGCGGTCTGATAGTACTTACGGTACGAAATGGCGCGATTATACTAATATATATGCGCGTTATAAATAATATATGAAAGTTTCCAGCGTTGTTATACGATTAAACAGTTTTTCGGATAATAATGTGTTTGCTGTTCTGGCTTTATTAGAATTGGCTAAGACCTAAGACTTTTTTTGAAACTTTTATTATTTTAGACTTAGAAACATATTTTTTATATATTTTATTTACTGGCATTTCTATTCAAATGTCAAAAATATATTATAGACCTAGTAACGACTAAAATGTTTACAACAACTGAAAATTACTCATACAAGGTGAGTCTTAAATAAGTGCAAATATTTTCAGGGCTGGTAGATCTCGATAAAAGAAACATAATCTCTCTTTTCAAAAAAATCCAAAATATACCGAGTTATTTTACTTTGAAAATTTTCAGAAAAAAAATTATTTTTTGTTAAAATTTTGTGAACCACTGGATCTTTTCTGGATTTTTTTTCTTGTAAATTTAATCTACTACCTATGTTGCCATACACTGAATCAAAAGTCGACATAAATATAATGAAAAAGTTCATTAATATAACGAATTAAATGATTAATTTTGAACCGATGAACGATTTCATTGGCACAATGAAAAGTAATTCATTGACTCTATGAACTTTAAGTTCATTAAATCAATGAACATTGTTCATTAATTTGAAGAACACATTCATTGGTTCAATGAACAGATTTCATTAATATAATGTACCTAAATCCTTATATTAATGAACCTTATCATCATTGTATTAATGAACCGTTATCATTAATACAATGAAATAATTACATAACCTATTTAGTTATACATTTAAAAGTCGACACTATTAGCAACTCTTGTTACACCGTATAATCGATGATGAAGATCGCTGTCATTGATATGAAATGTCGTTGATAGTCATTTCCCAGCCAACTACCTGAAATAATTCTGCTATAAATAGATTTCCATTTGAACAAACCCTTAGCTACAAAGTTAACAAAATTACTAATAGTGCCGACTTACTTACGAGCACAGTAAATTTTTCCATTAGGGATTATTAATAAAAAACAAGTGCAATAAACTAATAATAATTTATTAAACTCGATATAGCATATACAAATCAAAAATTAAAAAAAGTCGAATCGACGAAGAGAATAGTAATGTTATTATTAATTTTAGGGAAATTATAATGAGAAAATTAATTTACCAGTCGATATCCTGAGGGATTTCTATAAAAAGACCATTTCTTCATTATATTAGCTGTATCCTTAGACTTGATAACGTCTAGACGAATTTGCAACAGGCTTTCCAAGTCGCATCAAGTGGGTCTGATATTAAATTGTCGAATTTGAGGGCTTGAAGGCAGGTCTCAACATCTTCTTCCGGTTCTAAAAGACGTATATCAAAATAATTAAAATGCCAAATATTAAAAGAACATTCGAATTTACCATAATCAGTTCCATGCCTCGACTTGTTACTATGTTTTTCTTCTTTTTGTTTTTTATCTTCTGAAACATATCTCACACAGCGGAATTTGATTTGACAACACAACAAATTAACTACAATACGATAGGACTTTTATTTAAAATATTGAAGAGAACACTTACCGAATGAAACTAAAGCCTCACTGAATAACTTAACCACACAGCCGTTATTAAAGTGCCAAAGTAACCGATCAACATGGCGGACATTTAAGCCCTAATATTTTATTCGTGATATTAATAACCGCGTACAATAATATAATGTAGTGTGTTCGTTGTATTAATAACACTGTTCATTGTCACAACGTACAACTCATTAATCAATGATTTAGTACATTAATATAATGAATATGTGTTTATTAAAGTTTCAGCACTAAAATAAAGAACGTGTTCATTATATTAATGAAAATCTTACATTAATTTAATAACCAGATTTTCATTATATTGATGAAATTAGATTCATAGTATTAATAAATCGAACATCGATCTATGATTAACAAATCATTATATTAATGAAAAAAATCATTGTCCTAATGAAACAACAGTTAATAATCAATGTTCATTAATATTATGAACAATATTTTTTTCAGTGTATTAGTCAGAAATTATGTTTTTAATTAAAAACTTAAAAAAAATATTCAAAGAATTTTTGAAAAAATTCCAAATTTTCAAAAAAAAACCTGAGAAAAAACCTTAATCGTTTTTTTCTTTTTTTTTTCAAAAAAATTGTAAATTCGGATTTTTTTTAAACAAAATTTGGATTTTTTTAGTTTTTATGTAAAAAACATAATATCTTGAGAATATGGCAACATATTATGTAGGTAGTAGATTAAATTTACAAGAAAATCCAGAGAAAATTCAGTGGTTCTGAAAATTTAAGGAAAAAAAATTTTTTTTCGAAATTTTCATAGTAAAATAACTCAGTTATTTTGGACTTATTTGAAAAACGGTAAAGACAAGATATGATTCTTTTGTTGAGTTCGGATTTGTGATCATGATATTTTTTTGATCAGCCCTGAAAATATTTGCACTTATTTAAGACTCACTCTGTATTGTAAGCAAATTCGATTTTCCAATATTTTTTGACAAAATTGTAAGCGAGGAGCAAGCAAAATTTGTCAAAAATGAAAATGCCCCAAAAATAAAGAAAGAATTAATACCTACTATCTAAATAAAACTAAAATATTCTTGGCGACAGTATAATTTTAAGACTGAACTTTAATTTTTAGACTGAATTCCACCCTAAAGATATTAGAAAACTAGTCATTGTATATTTGTATAAGGACATTATTTAAATCTTGTGATATATTGAGCAAACGTTTCACAATACTGCCTCTGTTGAATTTTTGAAAATGTAATACCCTTCTTTAATTTTTAGACTGAATTCCACCATAAAGACATTAAAAAAATAGTCATTGTATAAGGACATTATTTAAATCTGTGACATATTTAGCAAATATTTCACAATCCATTTTTTTTCTCCGTAAACTACGTTACGAATTAGTAAAATAATAAAACAGCATGAAACGAACTTTTAGCTACTTTGTCGACATTTATGTAAAATTGCTCCACAGATAACATAAAAAAAAGTTTCTTGCCTTATGCGGCCGTTAAAGTCTCCTGCCCGGGACAAAGCCGCCTGCGACCGGATTACGCAAGCCAACTAGCTGCGACTTGCGAAATCTGGTGCACATAGAGAAGGAGAAAAGAAAACAAAAACGAAACGCCGCCGCCGCCGCGCGATCGTATCGTGTTATTGTTGTTGGAAAAAAGTCCGCCGTCCACCGGACAGACAGACATCCACAGCCACCTAACAGCGCTGCACTAAGCAGGCACCGAACAGAAGCACACCTGCCGTGCCCCTACTATAACTCTATTGGATCCCTCGGCCAAGCCGAGATCCTATTGGTCCGCGGACACGTGGATAATCCGGTGGTGGGGACCTGCTTATTAACTCAGCAGTCCCTCTTTCTTCAAGCATAATCGTTCGAGACTTCGTCCGATGCAGATCGCTTCGAAAAGTTTGCTCGTTTGTTCTTTCAGTTCGCTCGCGACTTCTATACGAACTTTTTTTGTGAATTATTGACTCTCTTTTTGGATTAAGTGACTTTGTTTTAGTGTGTGAATATGTCGGCTTTAACCATGGCAAAAAACTATTCGCATTGTCCGCTAAAAAAGCGTCCTATAGTGTTCAAGGAGGATGAAATCTCAGATGAACCGGAAAATCTATCGACTAAACCTGAAGATTTAAGCAGGACAGGACGTTTGGCTTCAGTATCGCCACCGTCATCACCAAACTCCATTCCTGATTCACGGTTATCACCACTTTCGTCGATCTCAGTTAGTTCACCACCTTCTTCGCCACCGATGTCTTCACCATCGCCTACCAGTTTCTACCCAACTGCACCGATTAAAGTTGAATCTCGATTAGCATATCCAGTTCCAATAAACCCAGAGTATGCTCCTCAAACTTGGCACAAGAGTATAGGTCCGATGTATCATCACCATCATTCTTACTATCCTCTACAGTACTCACCATACGGTCACGAGAACATGTACATGACTCCAGCATCACCGTACAGTGACAGTTCACTGTCACCTCCACACCACATGCAACAACCTCTCCAACCTCTAGCTTTGAGGCCTACAGTTTACTCCGCCATCGATCAGAGCTCTTTAAGCCCAAACAGTTCGACCAATTCACCTCCTCCTACTGTTGTGTCAGCGGAAGATCTCACAGAAAAACGGCGTCAAGGTATCAGACATCAATGTCCGGACTGTGGTAAAAGTTACTCGACATTCTCTGGATTATCGAAACATCGCCAGTTCCACTGTGCCGCAGGGGATGGTCCTAAGAAATCCTTCAGTTGCAAGTACTGCGAAAAGGTCTACGTGTCTTTGGGAGCATTGAAGATGCACATCAGGACACACACCTTACCATGCAAGTGTACGATTTGTGGTAAAGCTTTTTCGAGGCCTTGGTTGTTGCAGGGTCACATCAGAACACATACTGGAGAAAAGCCGTTTTCTTGTACGTACTGTAACAGAGCTTTTGCAGACAGATCGAATCTCAGAGCCCATCTTCAAACACACTCAGATGTGAAGAAGTACTCGTGTTCAACGTGTAGCAAAACCTTCTCAAGAATGTCTCTGTTGACGAAACACACAGAAGGAGGCTGTACGGGAGGTAGTCCAACGCTTCTACATTCCGTGGATAAGATGTACTAACTAGAATCGTACTTTAAAAGTTAAATTTCCTGTTAAGTATTTATTGTTTTTTTTTGCATTTGAAATACGTATGTATATTTTTTGACACACATTCCTTTGTATCTGTTCCTCATATTTATACTACACAGTATTTTTTGAAACTTTGTTTAACTCTCAAAATATAGTGCCTTTTGAAAAGACTGAACTAAAAAACGGAAAAATTTTGAACGATGTACAAACATCACTCGAATTTTTATATGTAATATAGCTAGGTTTAAGATAAATTTAATATATTTTTGTAAATATGTTTGAACTATATAAAAACGGTATTTCCCCATGTATTTTTAAGTACACATTATGTTTTTTATTAAGGGGAATATACGTTTTTGTTGTTCTTCTAGTCAGTGTCGAAGTTCAAACACTTTGATGATGTTATTTCTATGCCATTGTATAGTGCCTTATTTAGTCGTTTTACGCATATACAGATTTTTATATTATTTAATAAAAAGATGTTATCCATTTTTCATAAACCTGCCTTTTTATTCTCACCTTTTGACCTCTCTAATAAAAGTGAAAATCAATCTTTTAAAAATAAATAAAAAGAAACATTAAGTCGTAAAGATATTCTAACAACACATATTTAATACTCATTATAGTATTAAATATTTAAAAAAAACTGCTACTCCTAAACTTTTATTTAGAAGCAAAAATAAAATCTTAAACTTTAAAAAATCGAAAAAAATTTAGTAGAGTATTTTCAATTCAATTTTTTTTGAGTTTAGTGGACCAATTTCCTAGGAACAATAAGATTTTATTTAATTTTAAATTATTTATTTTTATTAAAATTATTTGGAATTTAATCAATTATAATTTTTTCTTATTTTTTTTCCTTAACAAGCTAATGGGGTTTGAGCAAAGAAAAATATCAATTAGAAGATTTTTTCTGATATTTACTACAAAATAGATACCTAATAGCTAAAATAGAGGAAGTAGCAAAATAAAACACTAATTCACCACAATTCACCAAAGCACTTTACATTTACACTGGATGCACGTTTTGCTTACATTATCAGCAGGTGACTAAAACTCATAAATTAAATAAATAGTTAATAATCGTAAAGAAAAAAAATAAATAAATAGTTAATAAATCGTATTCACATAAAAGATATATATATATATATATATATATATATATATATATATATATATATATATATATATATATATATATATATATATATATATATATATATATATATATATAATTAGTCTTATAAGTATATAATTGATAAATATAATTCAATAGTTAAGCAATCTCTCTCAATAAAATATTAATATTTGAATAAAATACGTTTTTAAATGTTTCAAGTTTAATGAGAGTAATTATACCGTATAATCGAAAAAAAGAGTCAGCGATGGCTATGAAATGAAGATCGCTGTCATTTTATATGTAAAATTATATATATGGGGAATGTCATTGATCGTCATTTCCAGGCCAACTGGACGCCGTTTTTTTTTCATATTTCGACTTGTTAGACTTTTTTAAGTTTTTTTTCAAAACTAACTGTTTAACTACAGTGTAACGGAAATTATTTGCTATGGGGTGAGTTTAAAGAGCTTACAAAAGGGGCAATAAAAATATGTTTATAAATTCTTATTGGTGGCTTACTTTATTGTCGTTTAAAATTTCTACCTGTTCATAGGTAATCATTTTCAATATCTATGTATGTAGTAATTTAATTGAATTTACATTGTGTGACTATTATTTAATATACGTGATGCTAGACCGGCAATTTGCTAAAGAAAATTGCTTATTAATACATTTTATATGTCCATAAATCCTTATATCTAATTTTCTACCTGTTTGGCCTATGTACATGTACAAGGCAAGGTATCACAATTATTGCAAACCACCTTATACAGGGTTGTTCACCACATGCGACACGGAGTATTGTAGCTAAATGATTAGATTTTTACAAATTGTAGATTTTGGGTTCATTGAGAGACTATTAGAGTTACAATTTAAAAATATTTTTACAAGATACAGAGTGTCCCAAATAAGTAAAAAATATTATAGCTGTGTTTTTTAAAATGGTACACCCTGTATATTATTCTATTTTTAGATTCTACGATTAAAATAAAGGTAAATTTGATTAAGGTTTATCACACTTAAACCTTACCGTTTTTGAAATATTTTCAATTCTATGAAATTGCATTAAAAATGTTAAGGCTTCATTTCTCCAAGGGTATCAAAATTTTTAATACTAAATATTTACTGAAGATTATTTAATTTATCAGATATTGTGTTGCAATAACAAAAATTTTACTACCTTATACAGAGTGTCCAAAAATTTATATTAAATAATTACGGCAATAACTTGTTTAATTTAAATGGAACACCCTATATATTTTACGTGAATCAGATGCACAATGTAATTGTCTATCAAATTGTATTATACCGTTTTTTACCTATCTCCTCAAGTTTTCGTAGACAATGCATTTTCTTATAATTTAGACCTCATTTATCACTATAACCATGGAATATTGACATTTTAGATTATTTTTTAAATGTAACAAATTTTCAAAGAATACAGATACTAATATTGTCGATATAGTTCGCTTATTTCATTAATTTAAATATTTTTTGTTATAGAGGACGTACATTAATTATTGACTGTTTACGTTGATTAATAATAATTGCTCCAAATTCTAAAAAACTGAATTTTGTCTGTGTATTAGACCACAGTTCTTTAAACTGCGATTAGACAGTGTGGTAAAAAGTAACACCTTATAAATTTTATTTCATTTTTTGAAGAATGCTTATTTATAAAAACAGAGACGTTCATTTTCATAACTTATTATTATATTGATTTCTGAGCCAAATCCTCATTTATTTATAATAAATTATTAATTAAAACAATTTAAAAGTATGTAATTAACTAATTTTTGCTCGGAAATAATGGTGGTATACTTAATTGGTATACTTACTTTACAAAGTTTTAAATAGTTTTTTTTTGTATACCAATGGGCTTGCAGTATTTACCACCTGTACATTTTGTACATATATGTTGCTTTAACAAAATCTGAAATGTAAATATCAATATTCCATGGTATAGTGATAAATGAGGTCTAAATTATAAGAAAATGCATTTTCTACGAAAACTTGAAGAGATAGGTAAAAAAACGTATAATAAAATTTGATAGACAATTAAATTGTGCATCTGATTCACGTAAAATATACAGGGTGTTTTATTTAAATTAAACAAGTTATTGCCGTTTAAAGCTAGTAATAATTTAATATAAATTTTTGGACACTCTGTATTAGGTAGTAAAATTTTTATTATTGCAACACAATATATGATCAATAAATAATCTTCAGTAAATATTTAATATTAAAAGCTTTGATACCCTTGGAGAAATGAAGCCTTAAAATTTTTACTGCAATTTAATAAAATTGAAAATATTTAAAGAACGGTAAGGTTTAAGTGTGATAAACCTTAATCAAATTTACCTTTATTTCAATCGTAGAATCCAAAAATAGAATAATATACAGGGTGTTCCATTTAAAAGAATACAACTATAATATTTTTTACTTATTTGGGACACCCTGTATCGTATTTTTTTTTTTTTTAATTTGTAGCTCTAATAGTCCTTCAACGAACTCAAAACTTACCATTTGTAAAAATCTGATCGTTTAGCTATAATACTCCGTGCCGTATGTGGTGAACAACCCTGTATACACTTGACTTACTTTTGAAGTTAATTTTGTCTATGTTAATAACATTTGGCTTAAATTTCCTGTATTTAGATTAATAGTTTTATAACCTATTTTATTAAGATGTTGATATGTTGTTTGAAGTTTTGCTGGTTACACTATAGAAATACCCATAATTAAAAAGTCGAAAACCTTTTCATAATTTAATTCATAGATCATTAAAGAGCTCAGAAAATTTTCAAAAAGAGATTATAATTATTAAACAAATCGCTATAAACAATTAAATTTTTTTAGGTCACTTCCGGTTTCATCGGAAATGAGTACAACTTTTGATTTTTCAGCAAGGTTCCTTGATTAATAATGAGTTTTTAACATAGCAATGACAGTTATAATAAAATTTAAAATACGATTTTTTTAACATTGTCAAAAATTGACATATAATATGTCATTCTATTCAGAGTGTCATTTTCTATCGAATAAAACAAAAAAATACCGAGAGTGCCATATAAAAATCAAAATTTGTAGTCATTTCCGGTGAAACAGGAAATCACCAAAGACAAGTGGCTTTTTCACAAAAAATAAAATACCCAATTCAAGAACAAAATCTAAAACAGAAGACTATTTTCAGTATATTTATCCAAAAAAAAAATAGTTCCATGACATTGAATAATATTTTTATAGGCCTGCAAAATTGCTTTAATTTGAAATAATTTTAAAGTGCCAATTGATGACGTATGAAAAACACGCCCAATCACATTGCAGAACCGTGCTCGTGCGCCAGCCAACAACTGGCAACATTGCGATTTGATTTGAACAGTACCACCTCAACTCAAGGCCAGTCAACATGATATGGGCAAGGCAAATATGGCGGCGAAGGCAGCGCATTATTAAATTGTTTACCTTTAACCTGAAAAGCCGGTAGTGGTTTCTCGTTACGATTGCATACCTGAAATAATTAATTATCTCTAGTTTGTTGTGCTTCTGCAACACGTTTGTTTAGTTCTTAGTATTCAGTGCATGGTGTGATCAGAAAATTGTGATAAAATAACAGTGTAATAAACATCCAAACCAGACATTCCACATAGGGAACTTCAAACTTTTGTGCTTGTCGTACTCCTCTATTATTAATTATTTTAAGGTAAGAACTAGAAGTAATTATCAAGATATTACACCTAAATGAGTAAAAAGCCTTCGTCGCCAGTCTGCATAGTACTTTATAATGGTTACTTACAATAATCAAAAGATAGGTATTAAAGGGTAGGTATTAACATTTTATTGTAGCATGCCTTTTACATGCTCTGTTCCAAATTGTCACGGGAATTATAGAGGGGGTCCCGAGGTTTCTTCTTTTATATTCCCCAAAAATGACGAGCTTTATAAAAAATTGTTGACAGCTACTAAAAGAGATAATTTCACTCCTACTAGTAGTTCTCGGGTAAGAAGTGCATTAAATATGCCTCAAAAAGGCCAAAGGCCCCAAAGCCTCTGTTACCCTAGTGAGGATGTAGTTATGGCTACTGCTTACACTTACCTCACTATAAGTAAAATATTGGAAGAAGAATCAAGCTTGGTATAAATGGCCTGGATGTAAGTCTTTTTTTAGGTCACAATTGCCCCTCACATACGTCAGAATTTATTATTAAATCCATCTTGTTTAGAATATCCAATATTTTATTGAAGAACTATGCCAAAAAAGGAATGACGTCTTTACCTCAAAGACAATGCCCTATGTAAAGAGAAAGAGTAAAGAAAACTAAGCTAAGCGTAAGTTTTACTTACGAACCCCCAAAAAGGTATTTATTTTTTTTTTCTATA